ATTAGTAGACAGGTGTAACTCAACACTGGGGAGGGAAGATCATGAGTTCAAAGCCAACTTAAGCTACTTAGGAAATTCCACGTGAGCCTGCCCTATGAGACCTTGACTCCAAAACAGACAGACAGAAAGACAGACAGACAAAAGAGAAGCAAGTAAACAAGAGTAAAGATTGTCAGGAACATCCGATTCTCACAGCCCAAGGCCCCGAGTGCGCCAGCCTCATGACAATCTCTTGCTGAGTCTTCTGTGACTCACGTGGAAGAAAAGTCACTCGTTCTGATTTAGCCTGAAACATTTAGAAAGCATCTGGTACCTGACTCATCCTGGATGCTCCTCCAGAGTGTCAGGAACTGAAAGAAACTAAGTTTTCCCCGAATGCTAGCAGGGCACATGGATTTCACAGTTCTATTCTGTGCACTGGGGGTCTAGTTCAGCTGGCGTCTGCAGAACCTGTGTCTGGGGTGTGTGCCTAGCCTGATGGTACAATACTGACCTCAGATACTAGGGCACAGTCAGAGAAGATGTCTGGGATTGGGTGTCCAACGTCGATGCGGCCTGTTCTGTACTGGGCATCAAACCTGTCCATGCCAGGCAAACTGAGCTACATCTCCAGCCCCCAAAATGAGGCTGTACTTTGATTTTGCATTGTGGTTTAAATGTCAAGAAATAAAAGACAGGACAGAATATGGTCAAAAAGGCCTTCTTCCTCTCCACTTGCTCACGCGTCCCCAACTCAGTATCATTTAAGCCTGACCAGGGCTGGTCCTGGCCTCCAGGTAACAGTGAGATTTTTCAAGGGACACAGAGAAGTGGCTTTCTGTCCCCCGTGGGACCTGTGACATAACAGGTGTGTCAAGTGGGAGGCAAAGGTATGTGGGCATCCTTACCTTCGTTCAAGGCCAAAATGGTGGTCTTCATGAGCTCCTATCACAACCTCTGTTCTCATTTTGTTAGAAATAAGCACAGGGTCATGGAGAGACCACCACTCCAATGAAAGCGGTTCAACAAGGAAGAACTTCCCTTCTAATCAGCTACTCACCAAAGCAGGGGAGCAAGCGTGCAGGGACAGGAAGTCAGCTGGGCTTTTAAGTCTAATGTAAGCGGTGACTGTGGCTGGGATCGACTTCACAGTCTTTCACGATTGGCTAGTTAGAAAAGAATTGGCACAGAAGAAATGAAGGAACGTGCGAAGGAGTGGGCTTCCTGAGTCATTTAAGATCCAAGTATGCAGCAGGGCCTTTGTGTAGAAGAAGGTTTTACCAGGGGTGTACTGTAGGGAGGGAGAGTGTTAAAATATTTGCATGTAGGTTTTGCAAGGTGGGTGAGAGGAAAAGATTCGCCTAAAGTCTTACAAAGTAGGAGAGATAGTGAGATGTGAATTCTAATTGTAAACAGAGGCGTTACAACGGTTGACAGGAAGGATTAATAACTAATGTTTCTTAAATTTGGATCTAGAAGGGCTCTTTTCTCTTTGTTTATAGTGATGTAAAACGCAAGTGGTCTGGCTACCAAGTGGGACTCTGCCCACTCTCTGGGCTCTGCTTCCCGGAGGCAGGTGGACAGCTCTTGAAAAGACTGAGAAACCCTTCATGCCTTAGTTAAGGGTAGCTGCAAATTCAGTAGCTGAATCAAGGCTCACAGACAAAGGAAAATTGTGACAACTGAGTTGATGTGTGTTCATTTGACAGGTGTGTGTCCGTGTCTCCATCTCTGTATCTGTGTGTCAACTTGTGTACGTGTACATACATAGGTATGCATGCAAGCACACGTGTAGTGAATAAATAAGAAAGGAACAGGGGAGGACCCAGGAGAGCAGGGCTCTCTTGGGAAAATGTGAAGTGATATCCACAAACTTACCGACTCAGTTGCTAGCCGGTGATGCTGTAGTTACAAAAGGAGAAATGAGAAGGGGGCGATTTTAGGGCTTTTCACAACAATGTACTCATGAGGTCTTGGTAGAATTCTACCCACAGTGACATCTCTTTTCTGAATTTCTTTCTTGTCCTTGTATTAGGAATTGATGTTTGTGCACAGATGCCCCCCCCCCCCCCCACACTGGGCACACAGACATGATCTATGTTATCAGATGGCTTTACTACTTCCTTCGTAAATATATGCAGATTGAATGAACCATCATCAGCTCCTTCTTTCTGAATTTCACTGACATTGTTGGAAAAACTTGCAATTAGGAAGAAGTAAACAGTGTTGTGAGTGGTTAATAATTGGATAATTAAGATGATAACCTAATAAGTGGCAAACAGCTTGAGTTTCAAAGACCTTTGACACCTCTACGTCATCCCTGGCACTATAAATACACACGATTTCAGCATCCTTGGAGTTGCCTGACTTACATGTCTAAATGTTTTTGAGAGAAAAATGGAATTCATTTTATGAGCTTTATCTAATTGGCCACAAGGATCAAAAATTTTTATAGGTGTCAAAACCCTTTGAAAAGCTAAGTGTTAGAAAGACTGAGACTGCTAAGTACGTATTGTTTAAGATCTTATGGTTATAAAAGAAAAGAATACACACATGTCTAAAAAAATATCTCAAGCTCTGTATTCATTGCTTTCATTAAATACTCTCTCTCTCTCTCTCTCTCTCTCTCTCTCTGTGTGTGTGTGTGTGTGTGCGCGCACGCGCATGCATGCGTGACTATATGGGGGCTGGAAGTCAACATCTACTATCTTCCTCTATAATTCTCCACCCTGATTTTTGAGGCAGGGTCTCTCACTGGGTCTGGATCTCACCTCATCCACAGATCATTTCCTCAGCCCGTCATTAGATGCTCCTTTTAAAGGTCTTAGTGACTAATGGCCATGTTGACATTGGTACTGGTAGTAGTAGTAATAGCTTCTGTAGCCTTGTGTGATCTATGGAGTGATCACATGAGTTAGTTTAGCTTTGCTCATTAAAGGAGAGAAATATCTTTTTTTTTAATATTCACTTCCTGTTGAAATGAAAAGTCAAACTGAGCCACAAAGTCATTTTAATTCGAGTGTATTTAGCTGACCTTCTGTCTAATGTTCTGAAATATATACACTAATTGTCAGGAGATATTTGCAGATGACAACAATGGGCTAGCATACTTGGCAGAGTGACTAGCATGCAGGAGGCTCTGGGCCCAGGCTCCAGCATTGCATAAACATATGCACACACAAATACACAGGCGGCACAGACGTGGATGCAAAATAAAGAAATGTACTTTCTAAATATTTTAACTAAAAATCGTCATTTTTCACTGTTTGGGGAACTTAAATGTTTAGCAATGGGCGACATCACAAAGCCACTGATGTCTTTTGTGACTTAGAGTCTGGATTTGAACCTTGTCGATCTTTTGGCTCACTCTGAACGTCAGGGAAGTATGTTTTTCTCCGGCTGCCCTTGAGTGTTCAGTCTCTCCTTTGGAGCATTTGGCCAGCGACCTTCTGCTGCTCTGGCCTGCTTTCCTAATAAAAGCCGTGTTCAGGGGGAATAAACACGGGTGTCTTCTCTCCTTGGTGAGAGCAGAGGGACCCTCACCTCTTCTTGTTTTTCCCATGAAGACAGAATCCAGCACATGGGTGTGGTTTCCAACTCTCCTGCCTTGTGATTCCTCTAGGGGTCGTTTTCCATTTTGGCCTTGCTTTGGGCCCATCCCAGGCCTCCTGTGGCAGTGGCCTGACTTCCTGCGGGTGCCAACGGTGTGACATGTACCCACCGCACTCGATGCCCTCTGGGGATGCCCTGCTGTCAGGCGTGCAGCAATAAAATGCTTCCCTCCAGCTCACACACTCTCTCTGGGCAGCATTGTGTTCACTCACATAGTTCTAGCTCATTTCAAAGTCCTGAGCCTCGAGGGTTTTGTTTCTAACAGGGAGTCTGGAAGTCCTCCATGGGTGGTAGATGGAAAGGGACCCTGAGATGCTCTCTGCTATAACAGAATACCACAGACTAAGTAATTTATGGAGAAAAAAGTATCTGTCACAGTTCTGCACTCTGGGTGATCCATTAGAAGATGGGAGGAAATCGTACTTGCTGGACCTTCTTGCTGCATACACCCATGGTGGGCAGAAAGAAGGCGAACAGCATCAGCTATGCAGAAGTCAAAGAGAAAAGGCCTGGAGAAGAGGCAAAAGTACCACAATCATCGTTTTACTAGGAACTCGTTCCCATGGCAGCAGCATGATCCTTTCATGAGGGCACAAACCTTATGGCCTCTTAAAGCAGGGTCACCTTGAAGTTTTGCAGTACTAGTGATGTCTGTGGATCCCCGACTCTTCCAGTACGTGGTTGTCTGAGCCTCTGGGCACTGTACATCCCAGGTCTCCATTTTCCCACAGGAAGTCTCGTCCATTCCTTCTCTGTGGGAATCAGCTGGGCTAGCCAGGACTGCGCATGTTTTCTTTCAGTCTGGTTTTCTTGACCCTGAGCGGACCAGCCCTAGCTGTTTGCAACAGAAAGGGCTTAAGATGGACAGAGAGAGAAATGCCTATGGTGAGAATAGGGGACTAAATATTTGGAGCGAACACTTGGGATAGCTGCCTAACTTCATGGCACAGGGCTGTAACCCAGCACTTGGGAGGTAGAGGGAGGAGATAAGCAGTTCAAAGTCATCCTTGCCTACATTCTAAGTTCAGGCAGACTGATGGGAAATCTTGTTAGCCAATTATCTTTAAGAGGTGGATCCAAGGATGAGAGGTGGCTTCTGGGACCCAGAGAAAAAAATGTGTTCATGGACCAGCTGCCCTCTCTCTGTGGGGTTCCACTGCAACCGAGCAGAGCCTGGACTTTCCGTTCCTGTGGTGTGAGTTTCCCCTTATGATAAATAAAAATATAATTGTTTATCCTTTAAGCTAGCCTGGTTATTTCATGAATCGAGTTAGCTTCTACAGCAGATCAGGCTACTAGAGACCCTGTCTCATCATGGATAAACAAGCAATTGTAATTAGAGTTACACCTTGTGGCCTACTTCTCACTAAGACCTAACAGGTTCTGTCTCTCCTCCCCCTACCCTGCAGGCCGTTGGAGCGATCCAGTGAAGATGTGGACATAATTTTCACGCGCCTGAAAGAAGTTAAAGCTTTTGAGAAATTCCACCCAAACCTTCTCCATCAGATTTGTTTATGCGGTTATTATGAGAACCTGGAGAAAGGAATAACACGTAAGCCCCGGAACTCCTATGGCATGTGCTTGTGTGGCTGTGCTCATTCGTGTCTGCCGCGTGGGGACAGACAGCACCCACAGAGTCCTCTGACAGATGTCCGAGCTTCCAAGTGAGCTGACATCTCTCCTCTGTGTTTACTCTGCTTCTCGCTTTTATGTTCACAGTGGGGGGCATTGTTATCCCTACCCCTGGGGCAGCAGCTCACTCTCCAGATGGGAGGACAGACAGACACATTCATTAACTGTGTCCTTAGGAAGGATAGACAGACACATTCATTGAACTGTGTCCTTAGAGATTCAAATACCGGTCTTCTTTAATCCAGGAAGGATGTGGCTGGGCTGCAGACAAAGCTTTCTTATCTAATGCTGTTAGCTATGTTTTGAACAGACCTCAGTAATAAATGTTATCCATCCTGTGTGAATCAGGGGCAGAGAGGATGAAACCACAGGGTGAACAGTACTTTTTTAGGGTGTTTTTCTTTGCGTTGAGAAAGCAGCATCTCCCCATTTCTAGGTGTGTTTTATGCTTCACTAACAGAACACTTCCATCCAACTGCGTTGAGTAACCAATGACTCATTCCAGAAGAAAAAAAAATGTTTCTCATCTATGAACGCCCTGAGGTGAGATGATTCGTAGCTGGTAGAGAAGGGCTTCTGGTCCCCCCGAGTCTCCCCCTTTACCTCACGGGTTGTTGGCATGTGCCTGAGGCAGCTGCAGCAAGAGGAGGTCTTCTGGGTCCACAGCCCAAATCCTCGCTGAAGGACTGTGTCTCCCGAGTCCCCCAGCAGACTTCCTGTGCGGTGTCACTGGCCAGAGTTGTACCGCGTGGCTAAAGTCCAGACCAATCCCTGGCAAAGCTGATGAGATGTCCAGGATTGACCAGAACAATCTTCACCATGCCAGTGGGACGAGGGCAGGAGCTCTTGGACCAGGCCTCCTGTAGATGAGGGTGTGAACTTGCATAGAATCTGGCTTGGCTGAAGAAGACCCTGTGTGTGTGTGTGTGTGTGTGTGTGTGTGTGTGTGTGTGTGTGCTACATGTGTGCCAGAGCCTTCTGAGGTCAGGGGAAGATGTTGCCTCCCCTGGAACTGGAGTTTCATGTGGTTGTCTGACAAGGGTGCTCAGAACTGAACTCTCTGGAAGAACAGTAAGTGCTCTTAGCTGCTGAGCCATCTTTCCAGCCCTTCCAATGATTTTCAAGGTTATGTGAGCTAATATCTAAAAGGTCTTTCTCTAAGACTGCAAACTCAGAGACAGTTCAGGTTCAGAAACTTCAGGGTGAGGATCATAGTCAAATGCCTAAATGCAGTGAAGTCAGAAAATAAACAGAAAAGCAACGACCCTGTCCTTACAGTGTTATAAATAAAGTCAGCTGTCCATTGGTCAGTTTAAAAGGAAGCCCATTAGTCTACAAAACACATTACATGCATTCATTTATTTATTAACTTGTTTACTTACTGGCAGGGTCTTGTGATATCCCTTGGGCAGACCACAAACCCATGGTCTTCTTTTGTCTCAGCCTCCTGAGTGCTGGGACTGTGGGTGTGCCGTCATAGTGCTTTTGCCTTTAATACAGAGCCGTGAAGTTGAATGGCTTAGTGTGGCGAGTCAAATAGCCTCGTCCCCATTTAGACTCACAGCTTCCAAGCGTCACACTGCCGTGAAGTGTATTTAAAGTAAGTCTCACAGAATGTTAGTGAATCTTTACAGTCAATGCTTTGCGTAGCCCTGGTCCTGGAACTCACTCGGTAGACCAGGCTGGCCTCCAACTCACAGAGATCCACCTACCTCTGCTCCCAAGTGCCGGGGTTAAAGGCTTGCGTCACTATGTGGGGCCAATGGATCTTCCTGCAGTCAGGATGATCAGTTAGTTATTGCAGCTCCCCGTGTGGGAGTGTTCTGTAGATAGGGCATCTGCTTCCGAGGATGTTGGATCTATAGGATGAGCTTTGTGGATGGGTGACATGGAGGAAAGCCGTGTTGTGTCCTTGTGGGAGCAGAGAGGGAAGGTTGAGAATAAGCCATGCTTGTAATACCCAGTGAAGATTTATCTGGTTAAACAAACAAACAAGCAAATCTGTACACGGTATGTTTACATCATTGTTTCTTTTCCAGTATTTCGCCAAGGTGATATTGGAACCAACTGGTACGCTGTCCTAGCCGGGTCTTTGGATGTTAAAGTTTCTGAGACTAGCAGCCACCAGGTAATCTCCCCTGTCATTAAGAAAAACTGATAGATGCTTTATTATGTTGTTTTCAGTTTTCTTGATGTTTATTTTTTGAGAATTTCATACGTGAGTGCTGTATTTACACCATTTCCTGTCCCCCTTCCCATTCCAGCTCCTTGTGTCCCTCCCCCACTCCTTCTCAAGTTCATGACCTCATCTACCATGCTATTTTCTCAGACACCTTTTCAAATCTACTTCTCCACGTTAAGTCCTTGTTGAATTCTGTTCTTTAGCCATGTCACAGACATTGAAAGGCTTGTGTGATGTGAGCTCGGTGTCGGGAGCTGGAACATTCAGTGCACCGGCTGGCTGTCTCCTGAGAAGTGCAGACAGTTCTACTGCAGGGGGATAGACAGGTGCATCCTTGCTGTAGAAGGTGAGGTGAGCACCAGAAGGAAGAGTGTTCCCTGCCTCCCTTGTGCTGTGACTTTTTCTGTGTATCACTGACCCTCATGGGCCTCCTAGGAGCTCGAGATGCAGGGGAGAGTGGCTGACGCAGACGCCCTTCACGACCTCTCTCTGCTAGGTTAGGGTGATGGCTCGTCAGGAAAATGTCTGCTCTATAGACACAAGGACCCGGTTTGGAGGCCCAGCATCCACTTTAAAGCCTGGTACAGCCATATATATCTATAATTCCCAGAGGGAGGCAGAGACAAGCCAATCACTAGAGCATATTGGCCAGTGACTTGATGGGTTCCAGATTCAATGAGAGACCCTGGTTAGATGAATAAGGTGGAGTCCAATGGAGTAAGACACCCAACACTGAAACCTCTGACCTACACACACACATACACACACAGACACACACACACTAAATGTATAAGTTAAGACAGTTTCTGAGCCCTTTTTGGCAGCACACTTCAAATGGGAAAATCTTTGTTATTCTAAATTTGAGATTTACATTTTGTAGGGACTTGTGGGCAATCATTCTCTCTTTTTTCCTTAAATAAGATTTATTTATTTATTTATTTATTTATTGTGTGTGTGTTGTCTGCATGTAAGCCTGTGTACCCCATGCATGCCTGATACTGGAAGAAGTGAAAAGAGGGCATCAGATCCCCTGGAACTAGAGTTATCCATGGTTGTGAGCCACCGTGTGGGTGCTGGGAAATGAACCCAGGTCCTCTGAAAGAGCAACAAGTGCTCTTAACCACAGAGCCATCTCTCCAGCCCACAGTCACCCTCTCAGATCTGCAGAGGCATCCATCTGATGGTGGCATGGGGCTGGAACCCAGTTGGTTTCCTGTGCCAGGCCCACTGCAGTGCATGGTTTCTCTCCCTCTGGTGCCCACGTCACCCTTGCCCCACAGGCATTTCCCCAGTGTGGCAGTGCAGAGAATCCACCAGACGCGGCCTGCAGCCCCCAGCCCCCAGCTGTGTTGGCTTGTCTCCTATTCTCTCTCAGGACAGGGATTCCTTGGATTTCAGAGAGGGCTTTGACTTTTATCAGCTGCCTCAGTTTCCCATTGGATCTGGAAACAACTGAATTGTTTGCATCGTCACCCCTGGTAGGCAATAGTCAGAGCGAGAGTCAGAAAGAGGGAGGACAGAGACAGCGAGGCAGAGAGAGGGATTGATTTTAACGAGTTGGCTCCCAGGATCGTGGGGCTTGGCGAACCCCAATGCCTAGGGCAGCTGCTAGGGGTGGGGAAGGTGGGGGGCATGAAGGTAGAGGGGCGGAGATAAGAGCTGGGGCTGCCTTCTTCAGCATGGAGGCTGGACCCTTCTTTCTTCTATGGGGAACCCCAAGTGGAACAGATTTGTTCTAAAGATTGTCAGCTGGTTGGGGTAAGGCCCACCTACGTTGAGGAAGGTAATTTACTTTCTCTGAAGTTTATTTATGGGTAGGAAGTTGACTAAGCTGGTAAAAATGCTCATTGTACAAGCCTGGAGTACCCAGTGTGTTCTCTGGGACCTCTGCAAAAGGGGGAAGGAAGGATTGAATTCCACAGAGCGGTCCTCTGACCTCCCCATGTGTCCTGTGGTATGCTGTGTCCCCCTCAACTAACACATAAAAAGGAATAAATTTAAATTTTACTTACAGTAATATTAATCACATCCAAAAAGACTTCACAGCATCTAGTGCTTACCCGAGGAAATTACCACTAGGTTTGCCTAGAAAATCTATTATAGCACTCTATCCCTTACACCTGTGTACATGACCGGCCTCATCTTCAGCATTTAGATGCTGGTGTACCATAGACTTGGTCACAGGGGTCCGTGACAGTGGTTCCAACTCTCCTGGGGCCGCAGAGCTGCGGATCAACTTTGGATTCAGGTCTGACGTCGTCCAAAGTTTCTATTCTTCCCGCTGCCCACACAGTAGGTGGAGGGTGAGGGGTGCGACGTGGTGAAAGAGAAGGAGAACCGGTTACAGGGACTGAAGGAAAACAAGAGAGGATGGAGCAGAACTCTGTTCAGGCTCAAGTTACGCGAGAGCGGAGGGCAGCCTTTCTCTGCAAGCCTGCGTCTCCATTTTCTTTCTCTAAGACCCTCTCTCTGCTGTTTGTCTGTCTTTTCACTAAGTCAGAAAGGGCACAAAGACAAGTTCCCCAGTGCACCCCGAGTTCCAGCCCCTGTGTGTGGGTGCATTAGCCGCTTTCTGGACCAGAATGGTAAGCAAAGAGCAAGACTGGTTCAGGAGCGCCACCTACAGGCAGCTGTGCACTGAGCATCCTCTGCCCATCTCAAGGGCCACTCCCTGCACACACCTCTTGTTTTCTTGAGAGTTCTGGTGGGATTCATTTGATCCCACTGATGTGCTGATGTCCATTAGGTGTGGCAGTCAGTTCCCTGTGATGCTGGGACTTATAGTCCTGTATCATAATTGTAGTTGGAGGCCGCTTGTTCCTTTCCCGGCTACCCAGACCCAAAATAATCACATATAAACTATATTAATTGCAACACTGCTTGGCTATTAGCTTAGGCTTTTTATTAACTAATTCTTACATCTTAAATCAACCCATTTCGACTAATCTGTGTATCACCACAAGGCTGTAGCTTACCAGGTAAATTTCCAGGGTCTGTCTGTTTCCTTCGGCCCCTACATGGCACCTCCTTGACTCTGCCTACTCTCTCTCTCCATCTCTGTTCAGATTTTCTACTGCCTTTACTCTGTTAAGCCATTGGCCAAAAGCAGCTTCTTTATTAACCAATGGCAATAAAACATACTCACAGCAGACAGAGGGCAATCCCACATCACATAAGGAATGTTCAAAGGATGGGAAGAGGGAAGATCACCGTTGTTGGAAGCGGCAGCTTCCCCTTGGCTCCTCCAGCCACTCCATTGCATGTGATGCCATCCCAGAGCCCTGGTCCCTCACCTCCACACCCACCTTCTCTTCCTTGAACACCTCGTAGATCTAGTAACGTGCAGTTAAACCAGCGTGGCCCAGCGTTCCACAGGACACCCAGGTTGGAGTGAGGTAGATAAGGGGAGAAAACTGAGGGACAGACAGCAGGCTATAGGACAGAGGCGAAATCACTAGAAAGGATGTTGATGGGCAGCTGGGGAAAGGAAGGACCTTGACTTGGGTGAAGAAGTGGGCGGTGATGTCCCGAAGGGATGGGCCCAAGTTCTGACAAAGTATTACTTATGCTATACATGTATTGGGTATTATTGATTTGATACCTTTTTAAAATGAAAGTTACCCTATTTTATGTAGTGATGGGGGAGTTAAAGGATGCATATATAAATATTCTATTTGCCTCATAAGCTCCTCTCACCTTCCTGAGCATCCTATTTCTCCTTTGCATCGCCCCCAGCTGTGCTCATTAACTTAAGAACCAGCAGCGTCTGGTGTAGATGGATTGTACTGAGCTCTTGGGCCCTAGGGTATAGGTTGTACTCGCTTTTCATTGGCGTCGTCCCCCACACAAGTGGTGGGAACCCTCAGTGTTCACAGGGCCTGTCCCCTGTGTGCTGTGCCACGCCTGTCCGTAGAGAAAGCATGGTCTCCTTAGGATGACAGAGTGGGAAGCTGAAGAGCCAGAGGCCACCAGGATTCCTGTAATCCCCGTGTCCTTTCTTTGCCATTGTCAACGTTAGTCACCATGCACGGCCTTTCGAGGTGTCCAAAAGTTCCTCAGCAGTCTCCAGGAGATCTAGGGGCAGTGTGCGTACATGGTTGCTCAGTGAATCGCAGATACCTGAGATCACCGTAAGAAACCCACTGATCCCACATTGTAGAAAACTGAAAATTATTCAGGGGATGGGTGGGTCTATGAGCTCCAGGCCCTTTGCTCGTGGGGAGGATGAAGACAGGCCACTGGGCTTCAGGCCACGGGATGGCTTACCTCCCAGCACAGGCTCGGTCCCACTGATCAGCTCAACAGCCACCTGGATGAGGGTGGGGGGTGCAGGTAGGGAGGGAAAGGTCGGAACTGCTGCCCACAACCTCACTCTGTCTCTGAAGGACCCCAAATCCTGTTGCGAGCTGCACAGCTCACTTCTCAATCGATTACATTCTTCCTTTCCCTGCTGGACCCCAGAGACACACCCTCCTTCTTCAGCCTTGCTTTCTGGGCAGCGGAGTTCCACCAGATCAAGGCTTCCAGAGCAGCCTGGATGGAGGGAGAAAGCCCCTGGATGGGATAAAAGGGACATGATCCGCCATGCAGAGACCTTCCCCGAGGAGCTGAAGCTCTTGCTCTTATTTCTGCATGGCTACCTTGAAACCATGTTTGCCTTACGAATTCTGGGAAATGCAGAGTGGCTTCTGTTCTTCCTGTGCTGAGGAACTTCCAGAGACCTGCAAACCCTCACTTCTATCTTTGCATACACCATGTTTAACCCTCTCGCCTTCAAACAAAACCCAGGCCCACTGAAATGCATAGTGTTAAAGGCGTGTCCCCTAGCTTCTCAGGCAGCCTTTCGACTTTGGCCATTACTCTGTCTTATAAAACTATGACCAGGCCGGGCGGTGGTGGCGCACACCTTTAATCCCAGCACTCGGGAGGCAGAGGCAGGCGGATCT